AGTAGTTTTTCTTAATGATATGGACTTCTCCATATCCACTCAAAGAATCCATTAAGTTCATTTCAGGATGGATCTATTCACATTGAAAAGGTAGAACACGCCCCTAGCTAATTTTGCCAATAACTTAACAAAATAGAAAACATTTATAAAAATATCCTAACTAAATTTTGATAAGCTTTTAATACTTCAACTATTTTTGTGCCTATAAAAATAAAAATACTATAACTAATATAATTTTTTTATTATAATATCTCAATTTTTAAGAATCTTCCATTTAACAACTCCAAGTTAACGGATACATCCTCATTTTTTTGTTTTTGTTATAATTGCAATTATGGTTAAATTAAAAAATAAGACAACCGTCACTCAAAATCAGTGACCCCAATTACCATTTGTTCATCTTTGTTTCTCCATTCATTAATTATAGAAATTTCCTTGAGAAAAAGTCATTAAACATTTATTTCACGTTTCTCTATAAGTTTTGTTAAATTTGATTGAATCGTATTTTGAAAATCTCTTTTAATAAGAATAATAATGATTTCCGTAAACAATTTAACAAAATATTTACTTAAATGTATGAAAAATACTGGTCACTGCTATCCTCTACTTGTATTTCATTTGAACTAGTATTATCTCCCGTGCTACGCACAAGGCAATTTTTTTATATATTTAAACTACTTAAACATTGCTTTAGTCTACATAAGCGTTCAATTAGAATAAAAGAAAACAAAGATCAAAGCTTATGAACCCATATATTTACCCTCTGCAATTTGTCTTCAAGTTTGTACCTCATTTGAGGTCTCTATCACAGTATCTCACGCTGGTTAGAAACAGAGTTGGCAAAACGTGGTGTACTTGCTGGACGCAAGCACGTGCTTTTTCAAGCAACCCAAGCCATTTCCTCTCAGCAGCTACATGCTTCTGATTGATTGAAGCATGAACTCGTTCCTTGTACTTGCTCTCTCTTGCCATCCTCCTCGTCATCGATTGAGATGATCTCTCTTTCACCGATGCCTTTTTCTGATTTGAAGCTTTGAAAATCCTCATTCCATTGGCTTCGGCCTTTTTGACATGAGACTCCACTTGAGTTCCAAGCTTCACGCGTTCCTTCTCTGAGGAAACCTTTCCCTAGATGCATTTGTGCCTTTGAAAGAATCTCCAACCTGCTATTCGAGAAAAGAATCAGACACAGAGAGAGGGATCACTAAAAGACTTTGCTTTGATTTACCTTTTCAGTTCAGCGGCATAGAACCTTGCCTCGGTTTGTTGGCCAAGCTCTTCATCGGAAGATCATGATGGGGTTCTGGTTTCGCATGAGCCTTTCTCTAAGCTATATGCATTGCTGCAGTATTACAGATTTTCAAGGAAAAGGAGAAAAACTTTAGCAAGTAACTATGGTTAATTAGAGGATCAAAGACTTGGTCATTTCAGGGCAAATAGCTAAATCGGGTAAGGAAACTGAAAACCTGTGTTCAAAGATGCTCATGGAAAAGCTTGCTTTCAATATTTTGAATACAAGGTGCTGTCTTCTTCTTACTACAGTCAGACAAAAGCCTTGCACGAATCCTCCGAGGATCTCTCGTCGCCGATAGAGGAATCTCCGTCGGAGACCTTTCTCCATCGTTTCGATCAAATCAGTGAATGATCTCTGTAAGAAATCTTATAAATTCAACAAATAAACATAAAAGGTGATTTTTATAGATGAAAATCGAAGACGAAGAAGATAGAGAGAGAGAGAGACCCGAAACAGTTTTAGAAAGCATATGATATTATGATGGACAATGAAAGTTGGTCGTGAGTAGTTGATATAGGAAGTTGGAACCATCTCAAAGATCGTGAAGTAGAGGCTTTCAATTGGAAAATTTTGGAGATTTTAAATTCTAAATTTTAGTTTTGTTCAATTAGAACATCTCTTATGGTTCTCTTTCCTTTCTTGGTTATCACCTCAATGTTCCCTTTTCCTTTTGATATTAGCACTTCGCACACGAATTGGTACTTTGATGCTTGTGTCGATT